CTCGTGGCTCCTGCTCCCCAGGAGCAGCATCTTTTCAAGCTATTTCTTCTGGTGTTTTTGTTTGTTTTTTGTTTTTGAGATGAAGTCTCGCTCTGTCGCCCAAGCTGGAGTGCAGTGGCATGTGATCTCGGCTCACTGCAACCTCCGCTTCCTGGGTTCCAGCAATTCTCCTACCTTAACCTCCTGGGTAGCTGGGACTACAGGCGTGCACCACCACGCCCACTAATTTTTGTATTTTTAGTAGAGAAGGGGTTTTACAATGTTGGCCAGGATGGTCTTGAACTCCTGACCTCATGATCCGCCCCCCTTGGCCTCCCAAAGTGCTGGGATTACAGGCGTGAGCCACCGCCCCGGCCATCTAGAGTCTTCTTGAAAACATTTATGAATACATGACATGCTGCTCATTCCGGAGCAGCTCAGACTCAGTCCTGGTAGGAATATTCACACACCCAAGTTGGCAAATGAGCCCCACTCTGAGAACCAGCTGTTGAACATTTGTGAGTGCAGGCTGGTGCCAGGTGCAGGCCAGGGCTGGTGCCGGGCATGGGCTGGTGCCCAGTGCGGGCCGGTGCAGGTGCGGGCTGGTGCCGGGTACAGGCTGGTGCCAAGCACAGGTTTCGTGCAGTGCTCTGCTCTCTGCTTGCCCTCATTCCCATCACGTTCTGTTGGTTTGGTTTTGGGCCTCTGACGTGTTGGTCTTTGTCCAGATGTCTTGGTGGTTCTTGTTAAAAGGGAGGTCCTGGGAGTTAGCTGGAAGCCTGTCGCCTGGTGGCTTCACCTCTCTGGGGCACTTGCGCAGAGAGCAGGGCATTGTCGGGTATCCCCACCTACTAGTGTCTGTGGGACCCTTCTCGCAGGCTGAGTCTCTCCAGAGACAAACCCCTAGCCCACCCCAGGGTTCGAGTCCTGGCTGCCCAGTTGCACTGCTGGGGAGGGGTGGCGGCATCTGTCCTGGGTGAATCACCCACTTCTGTCCTACCCGCAGGGCCAGTTGGGGAGGGCAGGGTGGATGCTAGCAGCTCAAGTGAGGAAGGGGCTTTGCCAAGCAGCCAAATTGTCCCCTTTGCCTCAGAGCCTGTCCGTGCCTGTGGGAGAACCGCGTGCCTCCCTGGGGGTATGGGACCTGCCAGCTGCTCGCCCTCCCTCCCCACAATGCCTAGACCCTCCCTTGCGTCCCAGTTGCTCTCTGCTGGCCCTTCTGTTTCTAATCCTCTGGGTCTGCAGATGCCCCTTTCCTGCAGTCTCCCCGTCCCTCCTGTCAGCTTTGGTATCGGTCCTGTCCCCGCTTGTTCCTGTGGGTCTGTGGAGGGGCAGAGGCAGAGAGCGTGGCTTCCATCCATTGTGTGGGATGGGGCTTCGCTTCTGTGAGTCTGCTCTGGAAGCTGATTGTGCACTGCTGGCCTGAGCGGCTCCCCCTGTCTTGGGCACATCCGGCGTTCACGCCTTGATTCTATCCCCTGCCCCGCGGGAGCCCCTAGGTTGAGCTTTCCTATCCTGGGAAGGACCCCATCATCAGGGCGCAGGCTGTGGAAGGGGCCTGGGGACACCGGACGACGCTGCTGCCAGAACGTGGCAAGCACTGAAGGCCTCTGTCCCCGCCCAGCCCATGTTGCGAGTGTGGCTCTGAGATCTCAGGCGTCCCCTCTGGAGGCCTGACCATTCCTGTCTCTCTTCCGGCCTGGCAGGAGCAACAAGGGAGCCATGGGCAACTGCGTCACCACCATGGTGCACAACCGCTACACCCCCTCGGAGAGGGCACCCCCGCTCAAGAGCTCCAACCAGACTGCCCCCTCCCTCAAGTAAGGTCTTCCGGGGAGGCCGCGGGGCTGCGGGGTCCGACCTCGGCCAGGGCATGCGGTCAGTGCACACGGGGTCCGACCTCGGCCAGGGCACATGGTCAGTGCACATAAAACCGCTTGGAGCAGCCGCGAGCCGGGCCCCCGTCCGAGTCCATCACCCTCTGCTGTCCTTTGGTCAGCAGCTTCCCACAGACAGAAAACAACCCAGATGTGGTGGCACAGGGAGGTCTGGGGCTCACCGTGGGGTAGGGCCCCCAGGAGGAAGCCAGGGATTGTCCAGAGCCCAGAAGGCATCACAGCGGTGGTGGGCTGAGCGGAGCAGAGGAGCCCCCAAGTCCACCACCGCACGGTCTTGCTGGGATTGGGGATGGCCTTGGGGTCTCCCAAGTGTCCCTCAGGCTCTGGACTCCTGTGACTTTTGGGAACTTTCTCAATGGATTTTTTTTTTTTTGAGACGGAGTTTCGTTCTTCTTGCCCAGGCTGGAATGCAATGGCGTGATCTTCGCTGACTGCAAACTCCGCCTCCCAGGTTCAAGCGATTCTCCTGCCTCAGCCTTCTGAGTAGCTGGGAGTACAGGTGCCCGCCACCATGCCCGGCTAATTTTTTTGTATTTTTAGTAGAGACAGGTTTTCACCATGTTGGCCAGGCTGGTCTCGAACTTCTGACCTCAGGTGATCTGCCTGCCTTGGCCTTCCAGAGTGCTGGGATTACAGGTGTGGGCCACCACACCCAGCCTCCCAATGTAACTTTAGTGAGAACTTTTTAAATGCAAAGAGCTCGTTATCCTGGGTACCAGTGAGTGGGACCTTGTCAGGGCACACGTGGTCCAAAGGCCAGGATGTGGCACGGGAGAGCTGGCCTCGCACCTGCCGCTGTCCCCCTCTGCCCTGCCAGCACCCCTTCCAGGCTCAGTCCTGGGACTGCCGGGAGCAGGCACCTGCGGCCTGTGGGCAGAGCCGTTCCCCTGGGTGGTGAGACGAGGCCGTTTGCTTCTTTCCTGTCAGCAACATCATCAAGGCAGCCACCTGCGAGGGCAGCGAGAGCAGTGGCTTCGGGAAGCCACCAAAGAATGTCTCCAGTGCCAGCCACTCGGCCCGGAACAACGCTGGGGGTACCACGGGCCTGCCCAGGCGGAAGGAGGTGACAGAGGAGGAGGCTGAGAGGTGACCGTTCTTGGGGCGGTGGGGAGCCTGAGGCCAGAACACAGGGGTGGGCAGGCGTCGGGGTCTTGGGGGCTCACACCTCTGAGGATAGAAATTTGCATTCAATAGTTGTTTTAAAATATTGAGACTGAGCAGATTCCATGTGGCATGATTTTGTTTACATAAAACACCAAGCAAAGGCAAGTTCATCAGAGCAAGTAGAAGGCAGGTGTAGGGGTGGCAGAGAGGGCTCCTCCAGGGGCAGTGGAACATTCCAGAACTGCACTGTGCTGATGGTCACACAACTCTAGATTAGCTAAAAATCATTGACTTGTACACTGAAAATGAGTAGATTTTGTAGTATGGAAATTGTACCTCAGTAAAACTGTTACTTAAAACAATATTAAAGGCAAAGAAGATACAGAACTAAAAAAAGCCAACAACACCCAAAGCTCAAGGGGCTGTGGCAGAGCCTCCTGTGACATTGACTGTTGGGGGCTGTGTCCCTGCCCCTTGCCCCTGGGGAGCTGGAGGGGGTGTGGGCAGAGCCTCCTGTGAGCATGACGGTCGTTCCTGGTCAGGAGAGTCGCGGGGGTACCTCCCTGCCTGGACTTTCGGAGCCTCCCCCTGGCGAAGCCATCACCTACCCTGCCACCCAGTTAGGTCTAGGGAGACCAGGCCTGTAGACGCAGTGGGTAGCATGAGGGAAGGGGGACCAGATGCCCGTGGCTCTTCAAAACACCCTACTTCTGCCTGGGGCAGACCGCCCCCGAGCTAGGGCTCACACGTTCTGGGTTCTCTGTTAATGCCTTTGCTGAGAGGATCCACACATGGTCCCGAGAGCCAAGGCGAAGCATTTTTTGTTTGTTTGTTTAATCGGTTTCATTCAGCATAATTTGTATACAATAAAAGGTGCCCATTGTAAGTGTGTAGTTCCATGAGCTTCCACCAGGGTGTATAGTGCTGTCTGTGGACACAGCAGACCAAGATAAGGAAACGGCCCAGCACCTCCAGGCTTCCCTCGAGCTCCTTCCTGGCCCTGATGCCAGCAGCCACCAGTCTGTTCCCTCATAGCCCTGCCTGTTCTGACCACCCTCTGTGGAGCCACGGCCTGTGGCCTGCACTGGCCTGAGTCCCGGGCCTGTTGCCTGTGGGCAGGGTCCTGCCATCCAGTGTTCACACCGTAGCCAGGTCATGGGCATCTGAACCGTTCCCACTTCCTGGCGATTGTAAATAAGGCCACACAGGCCTGCGTGGATAGACGTTTCCTCTCCCCTGGACACCTTCCCAGGAGGAAGGTTTTGGGTTTTAGTGGAGCTGGTCCAGGCGGGCTGGTCCTGCCGTGTGAAAAGGGCTACTTGTGTGCAGCCGCCGGCTTCTCTCTTCCCCAGCTGGACCTGCCACCAGCAACCAGCTGGCTCCTGCCAGGGCGCTGGCCTGGTCTTGGCCCTGAGCCCTTCTCTCTGGGCAGGTTTATCCACCAGGTGAACCAGGCCGCTGTCACCATCCAGCGCTGGTACCGTCGCCAGGTGCAGCGGCGCCGAGTGGGAGCTGCCCGCCTGGAGCACCTGCTGCAGGCCAAGCGGGAGGTCAGTGCGGGCGCCTCAGTCACTCCATGCTCCCCCAGGGGGTCTGGCCCAGAATCCCAGGGCTCTGAGTTTCTGGGACAGGTGGAATCAAAGCCTAGGATTGCCCGTGGGTCCTGTCTCTGGGTGCAGCATCCTTCTTGACGCTGGGTCCCTGCGGACGGGCAGGGTGGTCCTCACTGGCAGTGGTCAGGGTCTGGGTGTCGAGAAATGCCTGCTGGGTCCGTCCCAGGCTGGACGGTCTCCAGAGGACACTCCGTGGGCATGAGCCGTCTCCCCCGTGCCGGAACTGTTGGCCACCTGTGACGCAGGGCTCCTCCTCTGTAGAGCAGAGAAATGGCAGGTGCAAGGTCCTGGTGGGGTTTCACCTTCCCTGCTGGCCCTGAGATTCCGCAAACTCTAGGGGACTCTGGGGCGTTGTGGGGAAGCTTCCAGTCTGGGTCTAGATTCCGTCTTCCCAATGTATACACCACATGGCACCAGCTTCTTTGGCAGGAGCAGCGGCAGCGGCCAGGCGAGGGGACCCTCCTGGACCTGCACCAGCAGAAAGAGGCAGCCAGGAGGAAGGCCCGGGAAGAGAAGGCACGCCAAGCCAGGCGAGCGGCCATTCAGGTGCCCGGGCTGACTGCGCAGGGACCTCTGAGCAGTACCATGGCCCAGGCCTGACCATGGGGCCGATGCTAGGGCTCCCTGGGCCCCGGGACACTGAGCCTCAGGGCAGCTTGGCTGGGGAGCCTGGGGTCGTCCTCTCCCGGGGGCAGTGCTTAGTGAAGCCCCAGGACATCGAGCCTCAGGGCAGCTT